ACGCTCTTTCCCCTTTGAAGCGATACTACTGAAAGGCGATTCAAACAGTTGAGCTTGCCTGGCCCACAATCTGGTGTGAATAGCGAACCTATCTTCACTAAAACTAAAGGCATGTTTACTGGCACAAGAGGCCTGTTTAATGTGGAGATTGTGAAGTGGCCCGGCATTAAGCAGAATCACAACAACAACAAAGAAGTCTGGAAGACTTCCAGCTTACACATCTGCCCCTGTATTGTAGACTTTCAGATGATGGAAATCAAGGCGGCATAAAGACGGCTAAATTAAATTTATTCACAGTGGGTGGACTACGCTCTGCCTCTTTATGTGAAAAATATGTAGGAAAAATCCTTCAATTCTGGAAATATGAGAAAAGGAAAAGAAACATCTCTGGCTACCAGCCCGGCCAACTAACAAGTATATGGCCAACCACCCTCTGTGCCAGGGAAGTGCAGCTGGTGGGGTACCACACAAGGCCACAGGCAGGTCACAGAGCAGATCCCTGGTTAATGAGGCTGAATGGTCTCCAGCCCTGCCTTCGCTCTACACTGAAGCCACACCATTGGGGTTTTGGGTGTTTGTTTCCTTTACTTTGCCCATTTGGTGAGCTGGGTGTGTAACATTTTTCCTAAGGAATGTATTCTAAAGGACCAGACATTTTTTAATGCTATTGTAACACAAACTAATCTTGAATTCACTTATATCCTCAGTAACCAGAGGAGTCTTGTCCCCTAAAATAAGTTGAATTGGTAGGGTTCTAAAAAGCCAGGCTGAAACAGAAACATCAATCTCAAATTTAACACACTGGAGACTATATATATATATAAAATAATTTTACTATAGGAATACTTTTTTTTTTTTAATTTAAATACTCTTTAGAACACAAACACTGACTCCATAAGCCTAGGTTCTGGTCCCTATCTGTTAGGCTTCTGATGATAACTCATTTATCTTCCTTGCTTGGTCTCCCATTTATCAAGTTGGTGACATAGCATATGGTGGTGTGTGCGTTTTTTGTTTTCTTTGCGGGGGGGCGGGTAAAAGTAAAGCTCTTTGAAGGTTAAAGTGTGAAGTATTATTAGCAACATTACATGTTGTTGGAGAAGTGACGTTCTGAAACCTTTATTTCTGTAATTCTTTTAATAGAAAATGACCTGTGGTTATTAGCATGACAAGCAAAGCAGGTAACTTTCTTTCCAGTTCAACTCTAGATTTCCTTTCATAGCTGGTATTCTTGCTAATGTTTAAACTGTTTAATGTGGTTTTAAAGATTGTCACAGCTGAGACTCACTACTTTTTATTGTTCTCTTTAATCTCCTGACAGGAAGAAATTACTACTTTGATTTCACACAAAACATGCAACACTTTGTCACTGTTTTTGCTGTTCTCTTTTTGCATCCTGTTTACATTGTTGTGCTCTGAAGTCTAGTTCCCTTCCCTCCTTTCCATACTGCTTCCACCCCGACAGGACTCAGAGTTTCATAGACACCTGGAATTTCATTACTCCATTGTGATCCTTCTTCACCTTTCCTTGCTTCCATGAAATGCTTAGTTTTACTTTGGTTTTTTACCTACAGATATAAAGCTTATTTAATAAGCCCTAGCTGGTTTGGCTCAGTGGATAGAGCATCGGCGTGCAGACTGAAGGGTCCCAGGTTCAATTCCAGTCAAGTGCATAGGCCCGAGTTGTGGGCTCGATCCCCAGTAGGGGGCGGGCAAGAAGCAGCCAATCAATGATTCTCTCTCATCACTGATGTTTCTGTCTTTCTTCTCCCTTCCTCTCTGAAATCCATAAAAATATATTAAAAGATAAATAAATAAACTAAATCTTAGGCTTCCTGGATTTATCTAATGTCTATTAGATCGTGTGATTATTTTCTAAAATTTCAAAAATATGAAGTGGTATCTCTAACAAAATATATTTTGAATGCCATATTTTCATAGGACTTTTGCAATCTAGGGATAGAAATCTGTGACCCAGAAATTAAGTGGTTGATTAACATTTGCCTACTTTGCATTCTCAGTCACTGTAATGCTTTCATTCCATGCTGGAACAGGATGCTTTATGCAGACTGTGTCTCAACAGCGAACTGTCAGCACAGTCAATTTAGAAGATTCAGCTCCTCTACAAAGAGATAATGTAATCTCTGGCCACTAATTTAAACTCATGGAATTTTCTCCGCTCTAAAGTGATAAGTAAAAACTGCTCATCCTTACAAATCAAAACCATGCTTGAACTGGGGCTGACTATCCATTTGCCTAATGTGAACAGTGATAATATATTCAGCATTATTAAATGTAGATCTTCAATGAAGGGCAATTCATTTAAAATGAGAAGAGTCACATGGAAAGAGACAAAGGACATTTAGGTACTAAGCAGCAGGTAAAGGTCAGGGACTTCGTTCTCTGATAATAGCAGCCTAATGGTAATTCCTGTGCCGATAATTCACCTGTCATTTCTTTCATAGCTAAAGCATTGCACACGTCCTCAATGCGAGTGGGGTTTCAGGAATATCTCCTTTTTTCAACAAACAGAAAAAAGACATTTAAAAATAGTGCTGAGGCAACTGACTCTTAATTTAAAAGAAAAAAAAACTGAAGTATACATAACTAACCCCTAGATTTATTTAATATCTTTGAGTAAATGTAAATATAAAATGTGAATTGTAATTTTAAAAATAAAACCACAAAATAATTACAAAATATGTATTTTCCATTTCATCAAACAAGGAATTTTTAAGCATAAGTGAGAAATATATAGATATAAACCAATAGATTTATATAAATTATAAATATAAAGTATAAATTTTTTGTATGTTAGAAACAAAAACTTTCAGCAATAAAATAGTAAAAAGTTATTTCTAATATGCATAATATTAAAATGTTAATATCTAATATATATAAATGGCTGGATAAAATAATTTGTTAAAAAATACATTGATGTAAACCAAGCAAATTTTAGGGCAATTTACCAGATACAACTGAAGCTAATAGCCAAGAAATGTGAGAAGGTAATTAATATCCAGTAATATTCAAAGAAACAGACATTAAAACAATATAATATTTTTTCATATCAAACTGGTAATGATTTTCTTAAATTATAATAAATTGGCAATATACGCTTGTTTATCCCAAGCCACAAAGACAATAAAGTCCTTTATCTTACTTATTTTTCTCTAAAGTGTTTGCTTGAAGAAAATAGAAAAGTAGAGAAAGATTTAGATACAGGAAAGTTGCTTACTCTTTTTTGAGAGAAAACATGAGCTATTTAAATAAAAGATGGAACATTCATGATGACTGTGGCATCAGGACAGTGGGAGTAGGGACAGAAAAAAAATGTGGTATTAAAATTGAATGACAAGGGAAACTGCTCACAATGTAATGGTTAGTGGGGAAAATGCTGGAATAGACATCAAAATACAGTATTTGTGCTTATCTATGCTTAGAGGCCTCATAGTTCTTTATATATCCCTATATTTTCAAAACCATTGGTATTACTTTTATAATTAAAAAAAAACCACAAAATAAAACAAAGACCTACAAAGGGAAAAATACAAATATTTGAAGATGCTTTATAAAATGTTTTTAAAATCCACAGAAAAAAAAAGACTACTGTAACTAGCATTGTCTCTTCTATTCCTTAAGATCCCCAAAGTTCAACAGAAGCTTGGGGACTGCCGATGAAGTCGCTCGTTATAGCATAAACATCATCCGTTTCCAGCACGGCTTTACAAGGGAGTCAGCAGATAACTGACTCATGACCTTCCCAGCAGCACCCAACTGTGAAACAGCTCAGTGAGGAAATGTCCTCCCCTTGGCAGAGAAAAACCTGGTGACAGCCTCTGTGCCACAGGAGATCCTCGTCCCTCCCTCAGGCTGATTTTGAGGGAGGAAAGATTCCAAACTGTGACCTCCCTGGTAAGGAGCAGAAGGTATCCTGCTGGGGAAAATGTTTCAAACCTAGCGTGGATCTGGCCCCTTTCCTCAGCTCAGGAAGCGGTATGGCAGAACCTGGACCAAGTGTGACTAGCTATTTACAAAGATAAATGAATATACCGTTTGAAATATTACAGCTCAGATACTTTTAAGTAAAATTCAATAAATATACTATTTCTGCTCCATTGAAATTCATGGAGCATGGTACCACCATGACTGTATGATATACTGCTAAAAAGTAAATAAAGGAACACATAACATTTTCAGGAG